GGGGCGAAATAATTAAATTTAATATTAATGATTGGTAAGAAGAAAAATTATGTCAAACAATACTTCTGAACCAATGAATATGTCAAATGCCAATGTAAATCAACTTCTCTCGGGGGGAGGGGAGGGGAGGGGAAGGCGATGGCCTCTATCGAGTCTCCCATAAGAACAAATTGTATTATATATTTTATTATCTCGAACTCAAAAACTTATATAAAAATAAAATCTCAGGAGGTATTGCAATGAGTATCTATAATCTTCCATAATAATTATGTATCTACGGAAACATATATTAGTAAAAAAACTAAAAACGAAATAAAGAATTAACGTTGGGTTCTATCCCCGAATGGCCTCCATCCCCTCCTCATATGTAACACGCCGTGTTATTTATACAAACATTGTCAAATTTGCTAATTATGACAAAAACAAAAAAAAATGTCCCCCCCCCTTCCGAGTCGAAAAAAGTAGCGCGCTAATTTGTAAAATACAAGTGAATTTAGCACACTACACTAGAAATAAAAAAGTATAGCCACGAAATTCTATAAATTAGATAAGAAATCTATAGGTGTTTTGAAAAAAATGAGACAAATTTGTTCCTATTATTTGTTTAATCTAAATTGCATATACGTTGGAAAGTAGTGTATTAGCGCGTATTGGCTTATGTACAAGAGTGTTTCAAAATTGAATTCACTTGTATTTAAAACTATACAAAATTGACCTGAGCCACGAGACGAATATTCGGCCGAAGGAATGAGAATATTGGTACATTTCCAAAAACGACCGCACAAGTCGGACGTTCGTGTAAAATATTTGGTAGGCATATAAACTACTTAATTTTACTGCTGCACGTGTTTTTTTTTTTTTTTTTACGTTGACGCGACCACTCGAGCCCGCAGCGAGCTTACGAGAGCTATCTCGTATAACGAGAGGCGTTATCGTGCAGTGTATTTAATTAAATATTTTTACGGTAGATATTTTTTGTACGATAGTCAAAAAAAAAAAATCGTAATTCGTCGGCGGCGGCACGCAGCTGTACAGCTGGTATCAAAATTAATGTGCCCGTTTGTTGGTGGCGTAGGTATTTCTCGACAAAATCGAATACATACCAATGTCACTGTATCATATTACAAAAACGTTTATAGGCCTTGCATCGGTAACGAGTGCGGGAAACGAAAATTAAATATTCATAGAGTAGACCATAAATTATACCGTATAATATATAGCATATATATGCCATTAGAGTAAAAACAAGAAAAAAAAAAAAAAGCGTAAAATATTCGTGACTATAATATTACTGCAAGCAACCATTATTTTTAATCGTGGCGCGTAGATAAAAAAAAAAAAAAAAAATAAACTCAATTTACATAATTTAAATTTTTAAGTAGATAATAATGTGTTCTCGTACAGACGTGTGATTTGTGAATTCAATCTTACCGTTTATAATATGCCTATATAATGTTCAAATAATCGAAAATCCCGCACTATCAGGTTTTCCACTCAGAAATAATGTTTAATTCTACGTGGCCGAAAATTATTTTCTCTTAACAAAAAAAAAAAAAAACACACTAACCTATTCGTACAATTTGAATTATTGGACGTGATAAGTAATCAAATCTCCATACTCGTACCTGATTTACACGTTATTCTGTTTTAAATAGAAAACTTTTTAATGGGAAAAAAAAAAAATACAAAATATTAGGGACGTCACGTTTGTGTTGATCAGCTTTTTGAACGTCGATCTTGAAATCCCGATTTAAAAATGTTGTAACTTTTGTACACGTGATTAATATCATTTATTCGAAAAACTATAGTATTATTTAAATGCCAAAGAGTGAATTGAAATGTTTAATGTAACGACGCGTCGGCCTCAGTCTTCGGGTTACATAATATAATTATGAAATAACGAATAAAAAAAACCCCCCGAAGACGATGTCTCACGCGGAAACTCGTAATTACAACCATAAATATTTTCATTTTATTTTTTGGCTTTGAATTAATAATTCTATGATTTCGGAACCCGAGAGTTTGTCATTCCATTTCAACCCCCGCGGAACCGCTTTTTCATATCCTAGTGCCGGGAGAAGCCGACCGTGCCCCTCGCACAGGTCAAAAATAGACATTTAGAGACGCCGAACCGACACGAGGCGATAGAGCATTATTTATTATCACTCGTAACCCGAATTCGGGATTTTCTAATTCCGTTATTTTAACCCGGTTTTACCGATGCGAGTGGCATACAGAAATTAAAATACGGTTTCTGGTTCGAATAAAATTTAATTACAAATTTACCGCATTTACTGCCCGTTAGTCTAAATTCTAGCCAACGGACAAAATACCGAACAATTAAAGACGAGACAATTTTCTATTTGATACGTCGATTTTTTTTTCCCCATAAAAAATATCGTCAAACAAAAAATTTACATCCACGTTAGTTTTTGGAGCTGACTGGCTGTTAGATATCTGCTTTACTTTTGTCGTACAAGTCGAATAATATTGTAGTACACGCTTTCATGTTGACGATACGTTTTACGATTGGCGACAAAAATCTTTAATAAAATTTAGTGATTTTTTTTTTACATTTATTTGGCGTATATTTTTGATTAATTTCACTGCATTTTTCGTTTTTTTTTTTCTGTACCTGCAAACCAATTTTACAATACTGACATCCGTGTTAACAATAATAGTAAATAATAATTATAACATAATTTTTTTTTAGTTCTGTACAAATATTTTGAATTAGAAGCCGAACGTAAAGAATTGACCAATTTATATTTATAAAATATGACAAAACATTAAAATTACACGAATAGGACAGAAAACTTGCTTAAAAGAACACAATGTATATTTGTATCGGACGAGAACCGCCGCGCCGTACTGTAACCGTTCACACTCATTTACTTTTCAAAAAAAAAAAAAAAGTAACAATAATAATAAAATAAACGTCGAACGACGAATAATGCAAATAGTAATCAAACGGTTTTAACGAACGTCCCGGTGCGGTTAAATCGATCACATTTTGGACTCGCGTATCAAATAATATTGCAGAACGTCAGCGACAGGACGCGATGCAGCTGCGGTCTTTAAACATTATTTCCACGTCACAAAACCGACGCGGCGTAGCAAAAGTTTTAATAATTATATTCCGAATAGCAATTTCGGTGCGACCAACGCGTTGATATAATGTAAATGAAGGTGGTATTTCGAAACGGTGCACTCTGTTTTTGGTCAAAATAAATACCGAATTTTTACATGGGTTACACCGCGCCCTATAGCGTTCAGTGTCTGTTCGCACACTGTGCGACGGTCTAGACCAGGGATCCTTTTCAACCTTTTCGCGTTATAAAATTATTTTTTATAAATCTTGCAGACCGCATTCGTAGTAAACAAGTGTATTTTATACAATAATTCGATTTCATTATTATTATTATTGTTAAAACATTTACAGATTAACATATCTCAATTTTGAATTACAAATTATTTATTTTATATTTAACGTGATAACCGATTACTGACATTATTTTTCACTGACTAATTTTTCTATAATTGGTCGGATCTAACAATTATCAGCGAGTGTACTAAGTGTACTAAAGTCGGTTAATCGAGTTCTACTTAACTAACTCTAACTTAACCTATCTATCCGACACTTAGCTGCAACAATTATCGCTGAAGAAACGTATCGTTTTGCGGGTACATAAGTCGCGTTTCGTTTCGATTAATAACGGATTAAAAAATGCGGTATCGCGCGACGGCAGAATAAATTGAGCGCCGTTCTTTTAGTTGTTCACAGATAAGTGATATAAAACGTATGTATTTTTAGATTCTGAGTGGATCTTTTATTTTTTAATTTTATTGTTTCTGTTCAAAAAAATGGCTGGCATAAAAAAAAAAAAAATACTAATTTTTATTTAACTATTTGTTTAATTTATTTCGAGCTAATTACTGAGGTACTTCAACACATCTATTTTTATTCTAAATGCTAAATAGTCTCTTATCCTTATGCAAACAAACTATTATTGTCATTCGTGTTTATAAGTGCTGTGTATTTTATTAATATTAATACTTAGTACTTATATATTACCACCTATTCTGGAGAAGCTACTCAAAATCTTCACTAATAGTTGGCGAGCTTATTGCGAAAATGTGGGAGATACCTTTTTAAAAATTATACTTTAATTTTTTCGTACAGAACTTGTACAAAATCAGCAACGAATGGCTTTTGGTCGTAGTAACGTTATAAGCTGCTATATCTGTTGCTGTAGTTATTAATATTTCACCTGTTGCCACCACCACTAGAGACTCGAAATTCAATAGAGATGTTAGCCGTCTAGTTTATCATCTAATTTAATACATTCCATTAAACCATGTATATGAAAGAGTAACGAAAAACATAAAAAAATGCGTGGATAAAAATATTTTCTAGGATAATGAGAACGGGCGCAGCCACTACTATAGATAATTAACCTACATTTTTTAAATTATCCCATTTTTTTTTCCGGTTTTTCAAATTAGATTTGAAAAATTCTAAGAAAATAGCCTTTCTAAATCTGGTTTTAAATAAGAGAAGAAAAAATTTTTCTTATCGATAGATAATATTATATCAGTGGTGCGTGTGGCTGATTGTCGGACGGTTTTATTCCGTTGAATTTATTGAAAAGACAATTTTTAAACTTTTTTAGGGTGTTTTGTTGAGTTTTTAGGTCATTGATGATGCATTTTTTGAACGGAGGATTATTTTTTTTTTTTGATATTTTTAGGGCATTAAATCTGAGCCCTAATTATCACTAACAGGATACTTCTTAGATGTTATGAAAAATCCAATTATACGAAAATATCGTCTTAAACGACATTTGAAAAATCAGAATTTGCACGTGTGTATAATCTATCCCTAAGAATGGGGCGGGCGTGCATAATGAATCATCCCGTAGAAGACTCATTTTTATTATAATAATAATAATAGCTTCGGTTCAAACCGCCATTTTACTAATATTAATTATTGCGCTCGGTCATTTTTTCTTGTACAATTTCCGCTTTTTTTCGTACGTCTCGGCGTCCTCGAACATGCCCAACTCGACGAGGTACGTGGGCTTCTCCAAATCCGGGCGGCCGTTCAGAAACTCGCAAAACGCCCTGGTACTCTCGTGGAACTCCAGGCCTTCGAACAGAGATCTGCTGACGTTGAACTCCGCCAGTTTAGCGCCGACCGTTCCGTCGTCGTCGTTTTCGTCGTCGTTTTCGTAGTCCTCGTCATCGTCGTCGTCGTCGTCGTCGTCGTCGTCGCCTTCGTCACGGCCGTCTTCGCCGTCTTCGTCGGATATCCCGTCGGCCCTGTAGAACCGATTGATCAGCGCGATTGTTGCACTGTTCACCGGTCTGTCCGGTTTCCTGAGCGAGTTGCATTCGAAAATCGACATCAAGTCCTCGACGCCGATCGCGGGCGCCTCGTCGTCACCGCCGTCCGACGGCTGTATATATTTTTCGTACCACTCGCGGACGGCCGATTGGGTGACCGTTGCCGGGTCGTTGTTCGCTTGGCCCATCCAATTTCGCCGCGTCACTTCGGCCGGCGTCTCCATAAACGTCAAGTACAGCCGGAGCCGTTCGTCGTTATCCGTGTCGTCATCGTGACCCATGACGAACAACTGCACGCGAAACGCGTACAGAAATTATTATTGTGTTAGACCTACTCGTACTTGCGGATGGATATCGCGGACGATCGGAATCGATAAAATAATACGCATCCGACGACGATGCGTCGCGTTAACAGCAATAACAGTAATGAAAAAAAAAAAAAACTTTAAGAAATACTGAATAATTTACAATACAATAACTATTGTAACGCGTTGCCAGCGGCAATCGCGGTACGATATTATTATTATTAGTGTTGCCCGACGATCATTTCGATATTATTTTAGATTCGAGGAGTATACACGGAGAAAATAATTTTTATTATTTATTTATATGAATTCGCGGCGTTCGGCTTTTGCACGATATATATATATATACAGGGTGATCAACCTATCATAAGACGCTCATTATCTCGGAAACTATTAACTTTTTTCCAAAATGTTTTATAGAGAATTTTTACAAACAAGCCGTTCAAAAACTTAACATTCATACTATTTTTCGTCACCCCGATTTTCGGGGATGAAATGACTACCTACTGTTGATTTGCATATGGCAACCTATGGAAAAATTCCAAGAGTAGACGAAGTACAATGGATTCCGCGGCCACCGATTAATGTGTGCAGCTACCCAATATGGGTATAATGGTCCAGTCTCGATTTTAATGTTTAACGATTTTAACCCGTTTCAGTTTAAATGAACAACCGCTTAATGTGGGCAAATATAACTGACCCCAACACGTTCGCATTAAGCGAAATACACTATAGTAGTTCAAATAAATAATAAAATGTGACTGTTGAATTTTAGACAAGCTTGTTTTTAACTTTTCAAAAAAAAAAAAAAAAAATCAATTTTCAAAGTAAATATTTTCTGAGATAACAAGTGTACCCACTTAAATGGATCACTTTGTATACGTATATATGTATTTATTTCTTTATATTTATACTAGCTGCCCCACACCCGGCGTTTCCCGCGCTAATTTTATATTCCTTTTACCTTTATTTCCGTTGGGCTTTGTCAGTATATTGAACTAAAAAAAATCCAACAAATTAGTTGTTGCTATAAAGCAACATTATGCATTTATAACTATATGAAAAACACAATAAATAAATAGATAAAAAGACGTACTAGTATAATGCCGGCGAGTGCGATGCAAACAACGATAAACCATTGCTTACGAAAATACGATTCTGAGCGAAATTCAGTTGATAGTGATGCTTTGTCGACAATATGCGTGTCATATTATGGTATAATAATTAAATAGGCATTATATATTTTTTTTAATGATATTTGTATTATACTATACCGATTTTCTCAATTTTCCTGCGTTTTTCCCGGTTTTCCCATGTTTTTTCCCGGGTTTTTACATTTGCTGGGTAAACTCCCGAGGAAATCGAAAAATTGTCTCCCCACGCTGATTTGCTTTCAGAAAAGGTGCTACACGTAGAAATCCGAGCAAGTATTCCGCTAGAAAAGTTTTGCACAGATAAAAATGAAATAATGAAATAAACGTCCTTGTAAAACCATAAGCTTCTCCGCTCCATTCAGAATCTAAAATCAAAAATCAAAGCCTCTCGTCCACACGCGTTTCTCTGCCGGAGGGCGAAAGAAAAAAACACCGATCGGAATTATAAATAAATATTGGTTATTTACTCGCGTGTTAATAAATACAGTATATACTGCAGTCTATACGCATTATACCTGCGGTGTTTTTCGATTCCCGGCGGACGTGTCCGGGAGAGACTACAGAAAAAAAGAAAAAGTATACAGTCAGACGATAATTTTATTTTCCGTTTGTAGTTATCTCTTTTACCCCGCTCTATTTTCTCGCCGTAGATTCTCGTTCGGGGACGCGGCGCCGCGTCACGTCTTCAAACGGGGAAAAAAAAAAAACAAAAAACAAATAACTCTGTATTATGCTCTTTGGCGAGTAGTATAATTTATGCTCGTCCCTTTATATCCGTAGTAAGTATATCCCATATAATATTATACGTTTCCAGTGTGACGATTCGATCGGATTTGAGTCAATATATTATTATGTTCGGGCACTGAGAGTATAATACGTATATATACCTATATAAAGCCGTGTCGAACGGCGCAACGGGCAGAAATTTCCCAAGGGACGACGTGCGAGAAAAACGGATTTTCGGAAGTTCGCAATCAACCTTTTTTTTTCCTCGTCTTTGTCACGCTCCGACCGAGAGACGACACCGGGAAACGCGATCCAATTCGTTATATTATAACGTACAATAATAATTCGCAGCGGATGATGTGGATTGGTATACGTTCGTGCGATACTTATTATTATTTATTATCGTCATTTTTCGTCCTTTGACGTTCGGGAATGAAAACCGAAAAGATTTCCAGTTCGAGCTATACATACATACATGCACACGTATACGTAGAAATTACAGTCGCAACCTCGAGTAATATTTATTCCGGTGTTCACGGAGACCGAATCGTTGCAGGTTTTTTTTTTTTTTAGCGAGTTTCGTATCGGCATGAAATATTCGAACGTCAAACTATGTAGCGCGGGGAATTAAAGTTTATAATTACATAAATTTACACTTAATTTCTACCGAACTACTGGACAAAACGTTTCTCGTATTTTGTTTTGATACCGTGGCGACCGGCCAGGATTTTGAATTGAAGGGAGCTAAACGTATGTTTTTCCTTTAGACATTTCGACATAGACGCCCGTATGGAATTTATTTTGGGTACAATTTCGAAATTCCAAATTATTCGTAACTCCGATAACTATGTATAATAATTGTAACAACAGTGATATGCGTGGTCGTTTATTATCTATATGATTGTGTGATCGGGTGAATATTTATTGTTTATTAGTAAATTACCGAAAATAGAAAAGTCGCTTAAAATCACTTTTGTGAATATACAGAGTGATTTTTTTGTCATGAACCGGTAATTTTCTCGGAGGATTTTAAGTGAATTTGATTTCTTTTTTTTTTCTTCTATGGAATCGGTTAACCTTTATTTCAAAACGATTTTCAATTTTTTACCCCAACTCCGTATACCTTAAATAAATACATACCTACGTTTTTTTCAAATATGAAAAACTTATTTATTTTATAAATAGGATCCTTCCTTCGTGAATGCAAATTTAAAATATCAGATTCTAAATCAGATTTACCGTTTCTGAGTTATAACCGTTTAAAGTTTAGACTGTTATAACGTAGGAACTATAAATCTAATATAAGTGATATGCGTATAAAAATGTCTATAACAAATTTCTCAATTCAAATCTGTGTTCGAAAAATGAGGTTCTTATTTGAAAAACAAAAGTGTAAACTTATGTAAGGCACTAAAACCATCTAAGCTTGCTGGGGTAAATCAATCAAATTTGTTTTACTTATAAATGTATTTTAATTGATTTTTAATCTGACTAATGTGTATGAGTCGGAGGGGTATATAACGTTTGTACGTTTTACAAATTATCCTGTCTCCCCCACTTCCACAAAAAAAATGTAGTTTTCGTCATATAATAGACATATTCTCAATATTATTAAACGATAATATTTATAGTGAAATAATTGGGTGAATGCGTTTGACGGTTTTTTTAAAAAAAAAAAAAAAAAATAAAGTCACCCGAATCCTCATAATTACGCCACCGAGTATGAGTCTGCGGAGCGGATGCCGCGTCCGCCCGACCAATTTTCGGCCGGAAAATCGATTTATTTCGTTGTGTTTTTTTTTTTTTCTCTCATTTTTTTCCCGTCATATTTTCCCCCGCCCACCACCGCCCCGATCAAGGGTATTTTTTTCCGTTTACACCGGAATACCGTCCGACGTCGTGGCACTAACAACAACAATAAACATGGCGGCCAACGGCGTCCGCGCAAGAGTCAACGCGCGTCGTCGCGTCGAACGCTATAGCGATAACAGCGATCGTATCATTACGATTGTTATTATTTGCGGTATACCGAAAGGTCTGCGTAACACGACGGGGGAAAAACGGTTGGAAAAACGTCGATGGTTATTATTTATTATCCGTTACCATTATCGTACAATACGGTAATAATAATAATAATGCGCGTGAAGTCGTTCCGTACGCGGCGCGCGGCGTCACGATCGAGTTTCGCGAGACGTGCGCGTCCGTCCGCGCCTCCTACGAAACACCCTCACGAGACGACGGCCGCGCGTCCGCCAATAACAAATAACACGGCGATCCGCCGGGGGAGCGTGCCCGACGGCCGGCAGCGAGTACGGTGTGCCGTCGCACACGCGCGTCACGTAGAGTTTTCGCGTTTCCTCGGTCCGTCCGCGGTAATAAAATTGCGCGCGCTCCGTATACGCACATTACGTATGCGAACACACAGGTAAAAACATATTGTGCGCATTGCGCGCGGCCGTAGACCTCTTAAGACGTCCGAAATTAATGGGCGTTGGTAATTTGTACCGAAACCGGGCGTCCGGTACAGGTTTCGCACTTGCACACGAACGACGGACAACACTACACTTGCGTTGACCACCTACCTTAGACTAGCATTTTTTTTTTTTTTTTCCCGACTCACCGATAGCTGTATCTCAAAAATCGCTCAGAGTACGCGCTTCAAATTCGGAACAGCGGTTCCTCTAATACCATCACCGGGGCAATAAGAAAGGGTTTTTTTTTTTTTTAAATTCAACTCCTAACGGTCGTAAAATAGAGGTGTTTTGGGCGGGTGTATTCGGTACGAATATACGAATTGCTTATTTATTTATTTTTTGTTTATTCCAGGGTTACCTTAGTGTTACGGAAAATTAAACTGCTATAATTATTATTATTATTTGCTATATTAAAATTTCACAATAGCACACACGCTTAGTCCGCCGATGGCGCACTACCCACTTTTCACCCGTGTGTTTTCATTAAATTCTGACACGACCAAAGCCAAAAATTAACACGGGTAAAATAATAATGACGAAAATTGGCACGGGCAACGCCGGACATTATTGTATAACCGAATGGCTAGGTTTAGCTATTTTTATCTTTTCTCGAATTTTCCGC